TTCAAGATATTCTTCAATAACTTTTTTTCTGAAGGTCATAGAGACTTGGAAGTTGGTTCCATCTCCACTAATGTGGCTCTGCCCGATCCATTGGGACCATCCCCGAGCTTCTACGAGCTTCGGAAATGGTAAAACCACCAAATCTAAAAAAAAATGTACAAGATATTTTTGAATAACTTTTTTTCTGAAAGTCCTAGAGACTTGTGCATTTCATGATTAATAAAGGGTGGCCTGCTACACAACCACACCGAATTTCAGCACATTTCAAGCAAGCAGCGCGGAGTTATTCACCCTATGGTGAATTAGGGTTAGGGTTGCAATTAGGGTTAGGGTTAGGGTTGCAATTAGGGTTAGGTTTGTGATTAGGTTGTGATGAGCAGCAGATATTTTTAAAAACAGAGATAAACTTTTTGAAAACACATGAAGATGATAATTTGATCAATTATCTTATGTCTGTATATTATCCATAAAGCCTCTGATTGTTTCGCAGAGCATTCAAACTAATGTGTTCACCTTCAACCAGATGTCACTTGAAAGAGTCAAACAAACTACTGAAAACACAGTTTGGTGGAAGCACAGCATTCTTGGCAAAGGTAGAAAGAAAAGCTTTAACACTGCTCAGCAGGGTACAACGTGTTTATTGTATTTTTAAAGCTTGACTCTGCTCAGACTGAGTCACACTGGAGCTGGTTGTGGATGTTGTTGGATGTTTCACAGAACAGTCTGAGCAGAGAATCGAACATCGGAAATACAATAAAGATGTTTTTTCTGTTGTCGGAGCCTCCTTCTTTTTGTTAGGTTTGTCTGTGAAGTTACTTTCAGTCAAGCATTGGTTTCCGGGTTGTATGTTTGAACAAAACTGTACGAGTACGACTTTCTCCGGCCAGGACGACAGTGAAAAGTCAGCAGAATGTCTGAAGGAGCCGATGTGAAAACACTCACTTGATTACATGTAAACATGCAACTGATTTAAAAATGAGATAAATAAAGAGAAAACAAATCTCATACATGTAGAAGACATAACGAAGATGGACAATTCTGCAGATATCGTCCAGAGTTTATGTCTGAAAAGGATGTGTAATGGGATCAGAGGACGGATACAGGAATTTAGACATTTTAACAGATTTCCCAGAGAATCAATCGTTTATGGATCTAGATTAAATATCCGGAATATTTACAGGAGGAATGTAAATGAATATGTAGAATTCATTGCAGCTTGATTGAACTTAAATGCCATTCTTGTTGGAATTTGGATATTCTGCAAAAACACACTCTCTCGTAGTGTGGTTCGATTCCCTGCTGTTTGTGATTGTGTGAGAAGGTGACAGTGAAGCATGGATCAAAGTACGTCTGTAAACTGATACTCCAGGTATTTTCCCTTACATATCAGAAAACTATATTTCTACACCATGTATCCAAACCAAGGCGTCATCACCCTCTCAGTGAAAGCAAGGTCAGAGTCCCTCTCAGTCTTTCTGCACATGACAGTTTGTACTCAATAAATCTTTGAGTGTGACATGACTGGAAAGTGAATCGGTCATGATGCTGAGTGCTGGAATATTCCAAGCAGCTGTTCTGTCTGTGTGTGTGTGTGTGACTGCAGTCGGGAAGGGCGATGAATGATGCAAAATGGAAAAGAGGCCGACAGACTCTTAACAGTTCCTTCTGTGCATATCACGTTCGTTACTACAAGTGTATTCACTACAAAAGCAGGTCAAGTGCAAACCATAGCTGAGGCTGCATCGCTCCTCGCTCTCTGCCGCCCTGCTCTCCTGCTGTGTCGTCTGAACCTTCAGCCGACATCGCTTACCTCACTACTGAAAGGGGTCAGGCAGAAATCGGCTGTCTCTGCATATTAACTGATCCATTTGGTCTCCTCCGCCCACTGAGCATCCTCGCTGCACCCCCACGCTCTCCATCATCAACAGTTTGTTTACCCAAGCTTAACCCTCGGTCAGCAAAATGGACATCCTGTGCATATGTGTGCATCTGTTTGCTTGTGTGGAGCTGGCAGCAGTTCCTCGTCTTTCTCTGGTGGCCTAACCGGGTAGTTTGTGTCATGCTATGTGGGAGGAAGTATCGCCATCAATTATAGATTGTGCTGACTGGCTGGAGAGGCCTCTGCATGTGTGCACACACCCACAGACACTCGCGTACGCCACTGTGCATTTGTGACGTTTGTATAAAGAGCAGAGATGAAACTGGAGCTTTACAGGGGTTCGATTCCAAAAGAATCATCTTTCAAAACCTCATTGATATCTCCTGCAAATAGAGTCATATAAAACAAAATAGGCCAAGAACATAACCTTATTTAATAGTTAAGCATCTTGTGCAGTTTAATACACTTTTTTCAAAAACTGAATTTTCCATTCTGAGAATTTTCTCAAAAAGAGGCGACACACCAGCACCTCTCTGCCCCGCTATTCATCCGTAAACAATGAGAAGGGCCCAGCAGCCAAGTGATGCTCGTGAGGAAAGCCAGACCTTTCGCTCTTTCCCACTCCTTCTCCTTCACCCCTGTGTCATCACATCCTGTTTTGTTGCCCCTGCACCTCAGAGAAAGCCTCTCAAACAGAAGAGAGAGCCACTATTCCAGCAAATTCCCCAGACAGAGACACTTTTCATCTCCCTCTCCTCCCAGCCTCCTCTTTTTCTCACAGAATCGTTGCCTCTTTCTCTCTCCTCGCCGCCTCATCCCGCCCTCTGCCTCCATCACCACCTCCATCTCCCGACCCTCCCCCCAAACATCTTTCCTCGCCAGTCTCTTACACCCACTTTTTCCTCCTCCTCCTCCTCCTCCACCCTCTCAGCTCTTTCGTGCCCCTGCATCCCCATGAACGTCCTGTTCTATCAGAAATCAGCTGTTTTTTGTTTTGTTTTTCTCCAGGAAGTGTTTTATTTAGAGCAGATTAATTAATTAGATACAGTATCAGAGCCATGGCCATTCTTAGCCCAGGCCTATTAAGAACCCCGAGGCTAATGGTGTGGCAGAATCTGTGTGTGTGTGTGTGTGTGTAGCAACAAGCTGTGTGTATTTTTCAGGTCTGCAGGTGCTTGTTGTGTACCCACACCCATGTGTCCTCTAAATGGACTTATCAACAGGGAAATGTGTTTGTGTGGAGGAGTGCATGTATGCCATACTGTTATATAAATACAACTTCCTCTCACTCTCGTAGCTGTGTTTGTGGTTTGAGTCTCACCACGTAAGCCAGTGTGTTTTATCAGCGATTCTTTCATAACACCCTCCTCCTGTCTCTCTCTCTCTGCCCCCAGGGACGAGTTCTCACACCGACCAGTCAGCGATGAGGAAGAAAGAGAAGAGGAGCCCGTCCAATCAGAGATGCAGATGGCCACAGACGACATGAGCACCACCCAGTCTGGCACCGGGACGTCGTCCACTTGCCAGTTTATACATAACAAATCAAATGTGACCCCATAATTAAAGAATTGATAGAGTTTAACCAGGCACAGATTCTGCCAATGAAGTGAGACACCACAGTCCTGTATTCGTCTTCGGTAAACCCTCAGCTTCTATCAGAAAATTGGAGAATTCAGGAGAACATTTACGATGCTGTGACCGACCCAAAAAAATCGTTATTCTCTGAGATCTTACAATATAACTGAGCCCTCGTTCTCGTTCAAATGGCGGCCGCCTGCATGGATAAATGTTAGATGGCGAGCATCTCCTCACGGATATCTCCAATGGATATTGCGACGAAATCCCAAATGGCCCAGAGGATAGGACGGCAGAGACATCACGGGCCTGGAGGATCCTCGTCGGTGGTCCTGTCCAGAGCCAGCTCCTTCCTCTGTTGGCTCACCCTGCTGTCGATAATGCGGTTGCCGATGGTTACAGCCGACTGTTGGCTCATCGAGGGGGAGAAGGGCTTTGTGTGGCTGGCTATCTGCAGCATGAACCAGCCGCCTTACGAGGCCATTCCGTCCCACATTAACAGGTAAGAGAATTTACAATGTCAGCATTGTTTCAACACAATATTTCTCCTCTTTGCTGAAGATCTTCAGCCTTCACATGTCTCTCTACAGCACCATCGTGGATCTGAGGCTGAATGAGAACAAGATAAGGTCTGTCCATTATTCGTCTCTCAGTCGCTTTGGCAACCTCACCTATCTGAACCTCACCAAGAACGACATCAGCTACGTGGAGGACGGAGCGTTCTCAGCACAGTTCAACCTGCAGGTGAGCGATTACATCACATGCATTTTTACACTTGAGACGCCAGACCTGGTCTTACAGCTTGTCTTCAAAGATCTCCGCCATTTCTGATGTCTCCCTACCGCCCCCTGCAGCCGGCCCCAGGAGCCGGCCCCAGGAGCCTAGTTTTCCCAACACTCTATCAGTCAATCAGAAAAACAATCAGCATGAAACAGAATGAAAATCCCTGAAAGTATAGAAAGATATAATTAGCTTGATCGTTTTTTTAAGCATCTGCAACATTAAACTGCTGATTACACCTTGTTGCATCAGCAGGCTAATAATCCAATTACATAATATATAATTAATGTTGTGCGTTAAATCTCAGTATAAATCGTCATAAAGATAAGCACCAAACACCGGGCAAGAATTTTAATTATTTACTGATTTTAAATATATAATAAGTTTATTTTTGAATCATTATTATTTAGGTAAAGTTAATAAAAATGCTGCTTGTGTTAACATTTATAAAATCTGTACCTGACACAAGGAGGAGTTTTATGAGATAATCAGCATTAGTGGAGTAAAGCATCGACACAGACAGATGAACACAGACACACCTGCTCATTTGGGATTCCACAAACATTCAGGCAAAAGTGCTTCACCAAATTTAAGCAACCCCCCCCAGCTGCTGGAGCCGTGCCAGGAGGTAAAACACAAACAAACAAAAAAAGATCGGAGTGAATTCGGAACAGCACAGAGGCTTACATCACCATGTGAAACACGAATTGTACTCAACCGTCGTCTGTTTGTTCTGTATGTTTCCAGCTTGTAGTGAGCGGTGCCTGGCGTCGGCCGGCTCTGCGGAGATTAGAATAATCCCACTTGTCTTGGTCTCCCCAGGTTCTCCAGATGGGTTTTAACAAGCTGAGGAACTTGACAGAGGGGATGCTTCGAGGCCTCGGCAAGCTGCAGTATCTCTACCTGCAAGCCAACCTCATCGAGACTGTTACACCTAACACCTTCTGGGAGTGTCCCAACATAGAGAACATAGATCTCTCCATGAACAGGTATTGTTCATGTGCATCTGGTGAGAGAGAGAGAGGTGCTGCTGGAATGAATAGTTGGTACCTCCAACAAGGCCCATTAGTCCTCCTACCGCATTTAATTTCACTAAATTCATGTAAAATGTTATATCTCACAGTGTTGAAAAAAACAATATGGATCCACATCTGCGCCAAATGTTAAAATATTACTCCCTGACCCATACGACATATTTCTGGCTGATGGTAATCCCTCCTGCAGTTTTTCATATTCTTGCTTACAAACAAACCAAACATGTCCTCAGTGGAGGTAAAAATGCAACTCGAAGCTCTGGGAATGAAGTTTATCTGACAACCAAACGTTTCAATCATTGATCGATTATAGTCACAGCAGAAATGATTGTGACCCTGCAGCTGCAGATATTTGCTGTTTAGCTCTGACGTGATGTTGAGAGGAATCCAGTGCCCGTAATGATTACTTACAACCAGTCTTTCTGGGTTCGCTGGTTAACTATGCACACTGAGCTGTTAGAAAGCAATATGAAACTTTCCGAAAACATTTTAAATGACTTCATGTCGTCAAAACAAAATCAGAGATCAAGTCCTTTTGGTTATATTCACTGACTGATAGGCAGATTACATGCAGTGCAGAGGATGTGGAGATACTAACTCTCTTCTCAGTACATCATGATGCAATGCTGCTACACAGCACTGTTTCAATTTAAGTTGACACCTGCACTTTTTCTCAGTGGGAATAACGGTCTTGTTCTTAGTATTGGTGCCGTAATTGGTATTGATCGTTCACCTAAATGTTGAGGTAACAGCCAGAATGGAACAAGTTTAACTGTTGTTTGGGGATTGTTAAAAAGTATTCTGGGAGACGTTTCACACCTTAAAAGTCTGAGAAGACAGAGGAGCGCTGTAACTTTACACACCTAATTCTATTTAAAGGTCTCGGAGAGTGCTGCTATATATGTGACAAAGGTTGTTTAGGCCTTTTGTGGCTGCAGCTGTCTGGAGTCTGAAAAATCACCTCGGGTGATGTCATTTGACTGTTTTTAAATTACTTTTTAAAGTCTGAGGACATGTGGTCTCCTCTTCATCTCTGCTCGAGGCTACGTTAGCTGCTGCTAGCACAACACACCTGTGTCTCTGCATGAACCATCGATTGGCATAAAATAATAATTAAAGGTCCAGTGTGTAAGATTTAGGTGAAAGGGAACTATTGGCAGAAATTTAATGGAGAATAATCCTCATGATGTTTTCACTAGTTCATTTCATCTAAATTGTATGAATTGTAGTTTTCTTTACCCCAGAAAAGATCCTTTATATTTAAATACTTTATATTTACATCAAGGGGACCCTCTCTACGGAGGCAGCCATGTTTTTTACATTAGTCCAGACTGAAAAAACGAAACACCTTTTGAGTTTTTATGACAATTAAAGGCTACCACAGTTTCTTTTTCATGTTTGGAAGGAGAGGGTGAGGTGAGGGGTGTTCAGCTGCAACATGCAACTTCAACACTAGATATCACAAGATTCTACACACTGGACCTTTAATATTAACTTTTTTTAAAATACGTCAATGTGAAAACTTCCTAAAATGACCTTTGAAATCCTTGAGAAAAAAAACATTTTACTTTTTATTTTGCTCTATCTACCATCTACTGACATGGAGGAGGCAGGTTGTATGACCTATACTGCAGCCACACTGCATTGTGGGTAAAACAATTCAAGTTCATTCAAAGAGACAGTTTTTTCTGTATCAATTTTGACACTTAAAAAAATAGACAAAAACTGCAAAGCTAAAATGGAGGAGAACTATTTAAATGTGATCAGAAGGTGAATTTCCCTCTTGTGTCCTCCTCAGGATTCAGGTGTTGGACGGCAGCTTGTTCTCTACACTCTCTAAGCTGACGACCTGTGAACTCTACACCAACCCCTTCAACTGCTCTTGTGAGCTGCTGGGATTCCTGCACTGGCTCTCCGCCTTCCCCAACAGGACCAGTGAGCGGATGGTGTGCGACTCCCCGGTGGGCATCTCCGGCTTCAACCTCCTGAGTCAGAACCCCCGCATGCCAACCCAACGCACCGCTCTGCACATGCTCAGCACCGTGTGCACGGACGACGGAAGTAGCGTGACACCTTTCTATCCCATCAGCGCGTTCGATTCCACGACCCCGCCCCCGGATTCTAACTCTCCCTGCGGTTTGGACGATTGCTCTTCGGGGACGCCCCCTGATGAGGTCATCAGCTTGACGTATCCCATTTTTTCTGACACCAATCCGCTCATGGTGCTGAAGCAGGTGCTACATTCAAGTGCTGTGATCACCGTTCAGATCCCCCATCCGTACAGGAAAATGTACATCCTGGTGCTTTATAACAACAGCTTCTTCACAGACATCCAGACCCTGAAAAATCAAAGAGAAGATATCGAGCTGAAGAACTTAAAACCTAACACCGACTACACATACTGTGTGGCCTCCATACGGAACTCTCTGCGCTTCAACCACACCTGTCTCACCATCTCCACGGGCCGCAGGGCGGGTCCTGAGAGGATAGCCAATCAGTCCTCAGCCACTCACTACATTATGACTATTTTGGGCTGCTTGTTTGGGATGCTCCTCTTTCTTGGCGTCCTTGTCCACTGCCTGAGGAAGAGGAGAATCATGGAGGAGAAGGAGAGAAAGATGAGCAGGATCCAGAGGACGCTGATAGAGCTCAAGTATGGAGGAGAAGCGGATATAGAGGGAGGGAATGGAGGATCTGTTTCCCAGAAGATCGCTGCCGGGGACAGCCTGTCCAGAATGCCCTACCTGCCTCAAGGTGGTGAGATAGATCCCTACAAGCTGCAGGAGGTGATAGAAACACCGGCACACAAGCCTGCGAAACTCAACTACATGGAGGTCAGAGGTTCCGGCATCGAGAGGGAGCGAGAACGAGAGAGAGAGAGGGAGATGTCGCCGCAAGCAAATCCCCAGGGCTCTGTCGCAGAGATCTCAACTATCGCTAAAGAAGTTGATAAAGTCAACCAGATCATCAACAACTGTATAGATGCTCTCAAATCCGAGTCGACCTCCTTTCAACAGGGGATGAAATCTCCCTCTTCTGCAGGTGGAGGAGCTGTTTCAACTGCAGAGCCGAAGCTGGTGCTTCTCTCTGAGCAAGGGGAGAGAGGAGAAAGAAGTGGTGAGTTCCTCTCCCCCGTGTATAAAGGTGGGAGAGGAGGAAGGGAAGAGAGGGGGAGAAGCTACCATCATTCATTGCAGCGACACCACAGCATGGAGGCTCCTCCGACCTCCAAGAGGCCCAGCACCTCCTCGTCCCCTGGCTCCGCCCGCAGCCCTCGCTCCTTCCGCTCAGAGGGAGGTTACCACTCATCAGAGACCCGCTACATTGAGAGGACCTCACCAGGGGAGAGAGGGGAGAGAGGAGAAAGGGGAGGTGGGGGAGGAGATGCCATCCGCACAGTCAACCCGGCAGCAGCCATCCTTCGAGCAGAAGCCCAGAGAATCCGCCAGTACAACGAACACCGCCACTCCTACCCAGGCTCCCAGCAGCACCTGCAGGAGCTGCAGCACCACCCTCAGATGTTGCAGGAGCTCCACCATCACCCCGGGGGCCGCAAGCCCTCTGTGTTAGACCCCCTCACCCTCAGCAGGCAGGCCAAGCAGCGCGAGCTTGTCTACTCCCAGCTCTCGCCTCACTACCCGCTCTCCCCCCAGTACCACAACCTTAGCTACTGCTCCAGCCCAGAGGAAGATGAGGAGGAGGAAGGGCTCCTGTGCACCCCGACCCTGGGCTTGTGGGAGAGGTTCAAACTGCACCGTAAGAGGCACCGGCAGGCATCCATGGAGGACGAGGGATACGTGGCAGCAGGACATGCACTGAGGCGGAAGGTTCAGTTTGCCAAGGATGAGGATCTTCATGACATACTGGACTACTGGAAGGGCGTGTCCGCCCAGCAGAAGGCCTGATCCCACCCCTGGAGACCCCATACACTTGGAAGATGGAGACATAACACTGCACCCATAAGATGATGATGCAGATACACAGATTATACAGCAAAGACCTGTAAATACACACAAACACACACAACTTACAGGACCAACAGAATTAAACTGCACACACAACACTTACTCACACTTTACACAAACTAAGCCTTTTCGTCTGAGAACATGAAGGACCAAACTTAAATATTATATTGAACAAGAAAAATCATAACCTATGAGAGAGACTGAGTTACTTTTTGTAATGTAATGAAAATTATAGCTCAGACTGATGTAGCTATTTGTACTAAGTTTTGATTGAAGCGAAAAAAAAAAAGAATCAATTAAGAACAGAAAGCTTAAGTGTTGCCAGGCAACCCGTCCTGAACAGCTACGCTTCTGATCTGCCTTGAAAGCGACGTCCATCAATCCCGACCGCGGCAGATTGACCTCAACCATTCTCACTACGTCCGCTTATTGCTCACGATTTTTGCGTTGCCGGGGAGCTTGTTTTGCATCGCGTCCTGCGATACAACAGCGGATGCAGACATTTTGAAAGGTTTGTCCTTGATTTGCGAGATTTTAAACTTTAAAATAAGAAACGCTGGATGGGTCGCCGGGCAACAGAAACACTAAACTGTGCTGAGAATGAGTAGGTCGCTCTCACCAGAGTGAGCATAATGTGCCAAATCAACCAAGGGGAGAGTCGAGCCCTACTGTGTACCAACGTCTCCTCACCACTGTTTTTATATATTGAATTTAAAAAACCTAGAACGATATGTTGTTATTACTATTAATTATTCTTATTATCATTACTGGTCTTCTTATTATTCCTATGATCCTCGTCATTAATATTCTCTTGTTTGAATATGGCATGGCTCCGTCATGTGACTGTGTTTTGACTGTTTGGAACATCTCAGAGACAGAGACAGTTTGATGGACGAGACCCTTTTCTTCTTTTCTACCAAGAGGAATGCGCTCGCTGCCGAGCCAACAACAAACCAGTCTTTTCTCTTGGCGAACCCCCCGCGACACCTGCTCCTCATCCTCAAAAAGAGGGAACGCTGTGCAGATGAGAGAGAGAAGTTCTATATTTGCAACAGAGGTGACTGTTTTGTTTGTACAACGTGGTTTTGAAATCTTTCAGACTTTTCAGGAACCAGAATCTCAAGTTAGTTACCTACCTGCTCACTTACAACGGTACGTTTTTGATTTTGAAAACCGAACTACAAATTCTAATCTCAAAATGAATGTCTTCAATTCCCGCCGGGGAACATATCTGCACTGTTCAAAATCAAAAAACGACTCTTAGGAAAAGACCTAAAACTCTCAGCTTCCTTCCCGATACACTGTAGCTCCACTGTGTTTTATCAACGGTTCATTTCTTTCTTTGTCTCCCAGGTTCTTTGCTTTTTGTTTGCTGGATTCCTCAGGATCCACTGTGGTGCCAACGTGATAACTCACAAAGAAGTACTTTGAAATTATTTCAAATACTACTATTTACACACCTCTTCTCCTTCACATCGATACACACGAGTTTGCCAAACAGAACGAGAATTTGCACAAAAACGATTCATTGGCTCCATCACCGCTCCCCTTCTATCCTCCAATCATTTCTAAGACCAAAGTACTGTGGTAGTAAATTGACCCTCGTAGCCCCCGACCCGGCCCCAGCTATTTATCAACGGTCACCCGTACAGTCGCTACTTTAGCACATGTATACACAAACATCCAAGTGTACTCGCACACACACACACACACACAACCACACGCAGATGAATGTATTCTCTGAGAAATTAATACTGTTCAGCAGCTGGTTTTTCTTGTTCCTGATGTATGGGCTGTTTTCAAAGTGTCTTCATCGGTCTGGCAGAAAACCTTCATCAGAAGGCCACTTGTGTGTCAGAGCCGGGGATGAATACGGAATATTTGGATTTCCTCACACCGGTTTGTGTCACCAATTGAACCAAATGTTGAAGCCCAAAAAAAAATTGCCACTGCATTCAGTTACTGAAGCGATAGAAACGGGGTTCTGCCTTATCCAAGGTCTGCAGCTGATAGAAGAAATGTGATAGTGATGTGATTAGTATCGCCAGTGTGGTGAAAACAAGAGACTACGTGTATATCTGCAATATCTGCAGGATCTAAATACTGGAGGCTGAAAATGTGACAGCAAAAATACTGTTTGTACTTTACAGAACTGTGCTACGGCAACTTCTCTACGAAGACCATAAACGAAGGATGGAGTCAAGAACATTTCAATTCAGCCGATTTTGAATTTTCCAAGCTTGCGATGTTTCAAACGCTCGACGGACTGAACTGCAACCTCCTCGCTTCCTGAATTGAAACAGAATTGACTCCAGCCTTGAAACGACACTGACAGCTACACACACAACAGACAGAGCTGGCAAACAATGACAAGTTTATTGGTGAATGGAAACACTGTATAAAATAATTTTTCTCTGCTATAACGAGTCGAGAATGCTCAAGTTATTTAGCCCCGGTTAAAGCCACGATCGTGGGTCGGTGGAATCACCACAGCTGTTTGCGGCTGTGCAAAAGCACATTCGGTTGTGTGGTTAAACATTATTTTCTCCTCCTCTCACAGCAGCAGCTACGACGTGGTTCCTCTGCTTCTGCAGCAAAACAACTCAGATCCTGAAGGACGCTCATGAGCTGGGGTTGTTTTCACGTCAGAGATTGTCACCTCCCAGATTGTGGCTTTAACCAAACAACAGCCTTAAAACGTTCGATTTTCTTTTAATCTTTTTAACTTCAGCATTGCTTTGAAAATCGAAAACGTTTCATCGTTTCTTAACTTATACTTTCCTGACTGCAATTTTCTAATTGCTTGATTCTTAAGCCTCACTTGAGCATTCTTTGAGTAACAGTAATATCAATGTAGCGATGTATTAAACTGTTTTTGGTTTTTTTTCCCCCTCCTCTGTTCTGTTTATGAACAATAATGGCCTGAATTTATCGCGCGTCAGAGAGTAGCAGCACTCGTCCAGAATCAGGCGACAACGAGGCCGCCGGTCGAGGCGCTCAGTCGACCGTGACCCGAACCAGCGCTGCTGCTCTCTGAAGCGTGATGAGGAGAAACTGTGTTTTTGAAACAACAATGCCTCGAAAGTGGAAATAAATAGAGGTCCTTCTTACAACAGACAGAAACGACAATGGAGCATGCTGCAAGGAAATCCTCGATGGAAGTTTGTGTTATGTTCTGCTGGTGAATGACTCAGGAGTGAAGGAGCAAGAGGGCGAGGGAGTGAGGGAGAACGCTCTGCCATAGGATCTCTCAGAGGCTTTTCTTTATTTTCCTGTCAAAAAATTTAAATGAGCACAATAAAATAGCCTTTCTTTCACTGGCTCCTTTCCTGGAGAGATCACATGTGCGCCAGACGCTTTAAACACACTCAGGACTTTCATTTCACATCCCCAAGATGGCTGATTACTTTTGCTTGAGTAAGTCGTGGATGTATTGTGGGAACTGCTCTCAAAGATGGCACCCTATCACTCCAATGGAAATTGCTCGCCTGGCGCATGAGACAAATGTCCAGGTTTGCTTCCAGGTTTTCTGGGCCCGCCGCACATCGGCAGTATTAGAGCTTACTCTCATTTCCAGGCTTTACAAGAGTTTAAAAAATATAAACCCTACATGGTTTAACACTATTACCCAGGTGGCAGAACGGTAAAACCACTTTATCCAAATCAAGAAACATTTGCAAAAAAACGTCCAGTGGTCTGTCTTTGAGGGTGTTTCCACGCCTGTGCTTTTTCATCTGGTTAAATCAACTCTGGTTTGTTTCCCTTTTGATGCGATTTGAAGGGTGTGGACCGTAGACTGTAAATAAAGACGGACAATGTGTCTCCACTTCCTCCCACTATCCTAAAATGAAGCTTAACTATCCCAGAGGCAAACGTTATCATCTTGTGCACTTGGAGCCTGCGAAGTAGCGTTCAGGGGATGGGGCCACAGTGGCGAGGATACAACAAGCTAACGTCTCAGCTGTTAATCGTGACGTTTCATCCTGTTTTCATATCATCGAATAACTAAAGAACAGAAACCAACTTTGAGAGAAAAAAATTATTCTGCGTGTACTTTGACTTTTTAGTTTGGTCCATGTCCAATCCACTAACATGGAGGAGGCAGGATTTATAACCTATACTGCAGCCGGCAACCAGGTGGCGATCTTGACACTTTACTTGCGAGGAGCTGTCGTGAGGTCCATCTTTATATACAGTCCATGATCATCTGTGATGTTGAGGCAGAAATAGTGTTTAAGTGAAACACATGTTTGAGGATTGATCAGATGCTGACGGGACATAAAAGTTTGTACTTGAACACTTTCCTACAATCTGATGCTGCACAGTTCAGAGTGTAAAACTACAAGTAACTTGAAGCTAATTTGTACTTTCATAACATCACACAACAACATGAAGAGATGACTATAATTAATAATTCAAATTGGTTAATCCGTGACCGGCTGATATTTGTGAACTGTTTTTGGCTCGTAGTTAAATATAATCCTGTTAAATAAATTACATAACTCCTGTAAAAAAAAAAAATTTGGCTGCTCGGTGCAAACAAAAATCATAGTGAATGTAAATGAGGGCCACATAAGCTCCAGGAAAACTTGGATGAACATGGATACTGACAAACTGGAGACACCCGCCGTCAAAATACTGCTTCAAGAAAGACTTGAGACCCGGGGGGGGGGGGATATAGCACCACGTTGAATTGGCAGTCTGAATGAAAGGACCTATTTGGAGCGTGTCCTTGGTGAAATTAATTAGGATGCTTACTCTGCTGAGTTTTAATTAACAGCAGCGAATGTATGGACCAAGTGAACCATCTAACGAGGAGTGTCTGGAGAGCAGGTATCTACGCACAGAGCGGGTCAGCACACATTTTGGAACTTGGCGTTTAACGCGCCAAGAAAAAGCAACATTTAGAAAAGCAGACGGATTTGAGATCATTATTCCCCGTCACATTTTTTTTTTTTTTTTTAACCCAGGGGAAGTTTACAGTGTTTGTCGATTCAACACTTGTGATTTAACCTACTTCTCTGACAACAAACAAAAGCTTTGACGTGGATTTCGAAGCGTCAGCAGCTTAAACAGCAGAAATCTAAAGTGCCTTCGCAAACGTTATCTTAA